AAGTTTGAGTCTCAAACGCGCTGCCAGCATCCTGGGCAGACGCTGGCTGCAGGATATGCTTGTAACGACGACAGCGGCAGCGGCGACGGCGGCGCTGACGGTGACAGCGACGGCGACAGCGATAGCGGCAGCGAGAATGGCCGCGCTCTCGTTTTCAGCGAACTGCTGCGCTCGGCGTCAAATTTCAAACTAAAGTCAGTTGGCCTGGCATGGCCGCAGCTAAAACCCAGTGAGAATGCGACCCTCCAAGTCTCAGTTACCCTGCTGGAAATTTTGGGCATGTGGTGTGAAACGGGTGCGCGCTCTGTATCTGCCTCTAGAGGGGCACTTCTCTAAAGCAAAAACTGTAGAAATTATAAAGAAAAAGCATGCACATGAGATTTTAGCGGTATAAAAACATAAAGTGCATGAGTTTTCAGCAGATTGTAAGTGTAAATATCAGTATCGCGTTTGCAATAGGCATAATAAATGTACTTCAGATGCGTTTAACCCCACCTTGATTTTATGTTGCCGTTTTTTATCAAATTTCTTGCACTTTGAATAACAATTTAATGTTAACTCCCTTTTGATGGCTTGTATTTCGCATTTTATGCATTCAACAAATATAATATTCGAAAAAAAAACTACTACTAAGCAGGTTACAAACTATGTGCCTTTCTGTGCATTTTATCATGCTTGAATTTCTTGCTGGGTGCGCGCGGTATTCGACAGCAAGAACAACAACAACAACAGCAACAACAGCAGGCAAACGGTGCTTTTGCTAAAGTTGATAACAGCCATGTTGCTGCCTTTGTGTGCGTGCATGTGAGCTGATGTGTATGTGTGTGTGTGTGTGAGTCTGTGTGTGAGTAACACAACCACCTAGCACCTAGCGTTAAAGAGCGAGTGCGAGAGGGAGAGCGCGAGAATGAATACACTCAGAAAAAATGCATATGAACAGATTAACGTATTTCAGCATGTGGAAACATTGTGAAACTATTAAAAAAAATAAAATACTAAAAGCAGTTTTATTATAGAAGAAAAAAATCTAAAGCTTTTATAGGGCCCGAATCATCCACGATTCATATAAAGAATATTCGCGAAATGGATTTATCCACCAGAACTTAATGCAGCAAAAGGGTAACTTTTTAAATTCAATTTGGCTTATCCTCCGCTAGAATCGATTTCTTCTGATATCTACCAAGCGAGTTGACTATGAAAATATATAACAATGCTTTGCAGCTTAAAAGGTTTTTAGATTGGAGAGGTATTTGCAATGATGGGATTCTTACAATGATTCAGGATATAGCTAAATACGGAATTGATACTGGGATTTAAAAAAGACGCCTCTTTTGTGGGCTCGTCTTTAAATTAATATTGAATTTGAATTATTAAAATAATAGTTTAATGATTTAAATGAATACATATACATAGCTTGATTATATGTACATGGGAAAGTCTAACTTATTTCTCACGGTGTATATAAATTCATTCAATTTCCAGGACATGCCTCCTTGTACATGTATGTGTATGCATGTGCACATAAGTATTTGTGTGTGTTTGAGCGTGTGTCTGTGAGCCTGGGAGAGGAGAGCACCCAGAGCAGCAATGGATGAGTGTAGACTTTGTGGATTTTGTTTCCAAATTGAATTGTCCAATACATTTGCGTGTGCGTGCGCTGCAAGGACTCTCGCCGAGCAGAAAGGCAATGGGAGCGGGAGAATTTACGAGGCCGCGTATCCCAGTAGCCGTCGGTGCACGCTCACCAAAACTGGAGTCAATGGAACTTCTTTGTTGCACGCTCCGCGTCTTTCAAAATGAAATCAAAGTGGGATATTTAAAGCCTCATTAATCAGGCTGCTGCTATCCACAAGTAAACCCCAGCTCGGCAGCGCTACCAGACGAGGTGTCGAGTGGCCCACAACTCGAGGCTCTCAACTTGAGAGCGTTAATGCGCTCATTAAGTTCGAATTTGTTTCATTGATAATTACATGATGCTAATAACGATGGAACACTTTAAGATTGCATATATTTACATATCCCAAAAGCAAGCACATATGTATGTAAGTAACAGATACTGACTTCTAATGCGCGTTAGGACCCGCTCCCTCTAGATACTTTTGTAATTTATACATATATATACATTTATACTTATTTTCGATATTTGGCATTACAAATAAATTTAAATAATTTGCCTAGAATATTATATAATATATGTACATATGTATAATCCGTCTAACTGCCAATTTTTCGCAGCCTTGAGAACATGCTGGAAACCATTTGCGATTCTCGGTAAAATACAAGAACAAGAAAGCAGCAGCAAGCTGTTCCGAGCACGAGAAATATTTGAACCATTGTTAATAAATTTTTTAATTTATGGCCCATATTTCCTGCAATTTTTTTTTTTTTTTGGTAATTCTACCTGAAGCATTGCTGCAATTACCAAAGACCCGCAGAGAGCACGGCGTTTCTTCATTATATCTTTTATTTTTGGAAAATTAGACGTAGCCTTGATATACTGTGTGTACAGTCAGAGAAATGAAACTGGTCGATTTCTCTTTTCTCGTCTAGTGGCAACGTCATGGAACAGTTTTGGAAAACCTTTGGCTCTGGTTTATCATACAAATATTTGCGTTTATTTTTTAGATTAACGCGAACGTATTGTACAGTAACTAGTTCGGTCTGTTGGCTGTAGCCGTCGTTGGGTTTATTGTTGCAACGCTTCAGCTGAGTCAATTTGATGATTTGTCGTAATGAATGCTAATTAAACGCATTCGTTTTCTAGTTCAGTTGGCACCCAACAGCTAGGCAGCATCCATATTGGGCCAGGGCATCTAATTCTTCTACTTCTAACATTTGCTGCTTTCTATGTATTCGTTCAACTTGAATGTGTTCTCGTATGCCACATGGCCAGGGCAACAAAGTGTGTCAAAATTCTTAGGCGTATCCATGAACAAAACCTTGCTCACATGCCCAGCCGAGCTGTGTGGCTGTGACTGGCTATGTGCCGTAGTTTAGCAAATAGACACAGATACACACATGCATACAAATAGCTGAGTATATAGAAAACATAGATACAGATAGCGATATGCAGGCCTCAGCTACAGACACAGATAGCGATGTTCGAGTATGTTTCACACAATTTGGGTATATCCACGACGGGAGCGTAAGTGGAAAAGCAAATAAAAGGTGCTAATTTCATGAGGGTTCAATTAGACGTTAGGCTGCTGTACGATTTCTTTTTGAATTTAAGTTTTTATTGTCGGTCGCGGGTCTAGTTAAAACAAAAACACATAAAGTTCCAGACGTTTTCCTACCCGCGAAAATTCTTTCATTCTTTCTACGCGATTACGAGGGCACTTACATATATTATAATCAAACAGACATTGTAAGAGAATAAAATATAAAAATGAAACCAAAATAATGCGTTCGCCCGAGCAGGGACTTGAACCCTGGACCCTTGGATTAAAAGTCCAATGCTCTACCGACTGAGCTACCCGGGCAGTTGATTCGTTCTTGCCAAAACCCCTTTAAATTGCAACTGAAACAAAAAGCTTTAAACGATAAATTTAATAGGAAAAGCTTTGAGAATAAATGCGGTAAAAAGCTCAACTGCTCTGCTAAGTAGAGGGTATCATTATTGTAAAATGCATTATGTGACTCATTGGAGAATAAGAACACGATAAAGATGAAATTCCAAATATTGCCAAACACAATAACAAAAGGAATAAAAACAAGTCGTTTTATCTGTTCCCTATATATTTATTCCAAATAATATATTTAAAAAATAGTTTAAAAAATATTTTGTGTAGTAAAAAAGATTGTGGTCCAACAATTGGCAAGGCTGATAGTGGCAGTCCACTCCGGTACGCTATCCCACTACTGCTTACCACGGGAACTCTTGGCTGCTGGTTTTCACCCCTGGCCCGGTTCATCCCTCCTTAGCCAACCTGAATGCCGTGGACTCCTCCGCGGCACCCATATTGATGGCAAGCTTAGTGCGGACGTTCCGTCAACATGGCTGGTCCACTACACAGTGATCCCCAGCCTCAGGCCATCCCACAATCAGACCTCACAGAAGCGTGATTACAGAAGCTGCCAACCTTCCAGTCGAAATTCGGAAGTCTAAACAAGCATTATATGTCTACGTTTAGCAAAGTAGTTTGGCTTGGGTTACTGCTTTATCGATGAACTGCTTTCACGTATATTGAACCACAGTAATATGGTGGCCCTGCTTAGTTTACGTGCACTGCTTCAACGTAGTAAAACTGCTTTGTTTCAACTGCTTTATTAACATACTGTGAATATAGCGTGCCCCGAAGACACAGCAAATTGGCACTGTCATTAAAAATAATAATAAATACAAAATAAATAGCTATTAGTTGATTTATTGATTATTCAAAGACAACATATATAAAATCTCTTTACCCAGCCTTAAATAAAAAGATATACTAAAAAAGTTGAGCTCGCCCGAGCAGGGACTTGAACCCTGGACCCTTGGATTAAAAGTCCAATGCTCTACCGACTGAGCTACCCGGGCACGTGTTTTACTCTTGTCAAGACTCAATCAAAAGCATATTCTTCTTGGAAATATTACAAGAATAATATTAATGCTGATTTATTGGAATACAATGCATCTAAAAGGAAAATAAGATACAACTTTAATTTAGATTTCGAACACAGAATTAGTTGATTTTCGGTATAATAGGATCATAATGAAGCTCATATTCGATGAGTTAGATTAGAATATATTGGAAAAAAACTATTTAAAAAACTCAATTTGTGTAAGAAACATTAGTCCAATGTTGCTTATAGCAGGGTAACATTCATCAAAGTTTATTGAAGTGTACTCACTTAAAACAGGTCAAAATAAATATACTTTTGTCAAAGAATTAGTGACAGTAAAAATGTACTTAGAATATGCGTTTACCTGGACTAGCCTGTTCGGGTATATAAGTAGGTCATTGGCATATAAATTTAGGATAGTGTTACATAAAAAAGTATATCTATTTGTATCCTATATAAACAAATCGGTTTAGGAGCCAACATTTGCACTCGTGCGGGTACTCATAATTGGGTTTCCGCCTTTTCGTTTTTCCATCCTAGGAGAAAAATGTCGCATTAATCAAGATAGGTGTGCATGAGTATAAAGTATTAGGCACCATACCGATCATAAAAAGCCTTTATCACTTCCTTCTTGAAGACTGATACAAAAAACAAAAGTATACCTTGAGAAGAGGTTATTATGTCAAGATTCTCGATTCCTTGTAATTGGTTGATTGAACATAAATAGGCAATTATCTCCAGAAGCCATGCCACGCCTGTTATGGCGAATAGGCGGAAGAAAAATTTGAAACTAAATGAAAATAATTTGTAAATCTGTATACATGCAAATCTATTAAAATCACTTGCTTGGCTTGATGGGCTAGTTTACTGCTACTGTCGGCGTCACTCCACACGCGGCAATTATTCTGGTCCTCCTTATATATTTTCATTGCCGTTACAATAGAAAGCCATATGTTGATAAGTATGGCCAACAATATGGGACCATAATAGTAGATCATTGCCGAATAATCCTGTGCTGTAAGCGAGAAAATTGATCACATTAAATATATATTCAATATAAATATCAGCAATGATCTTCTCACTATCGATCCAACAGAAATAATATCCAAATGTGGGCTGCAATTGACTTGTATTATTCTCGTCAAAAGATTCGTCCATTTCAAATAGATACGAAACCAAAAGTGTGATCCCAAGTAATCCAGCAGCTACGCTCCAAACGAAGATATTATATTTCTTAAAGTTCGACCTAAACTTAATGCCAAGGTTTTTCACACTCTTCCACAGCGTAAAGTTGATCATCAAGAGCCAAAGGAATGTGGCCATAACAGTGTAATACCCAATGTAAGCTGAGGGAAATATAAAAATGAGCTATTATTATTATAAAAATGTTTAATATTATATTATCTTATGCATTCATACCAATTGAATTGCAAAACAATTTAGAAGTAATATTGTCACGATAGAGCGATTCGAGCCACAGCAACAAAAAGCTAACGGCTAGGCAAAGAAAGTAACATATGCAACATTTGTCGTACACTTTACGAAATTGGGGCAAGTACAGAAACGTCGCAACGGTAATAATCATACAGAATATTGAAATAACTCGCAATGCATCAGGTAGAGTAACTGGAAGAAAGTTATTCATACATCAAATTGACTTGACTTGACCTGGACTCTATCAATAACTAACTCGTGCTTTTTATCGGATCGTCCAAAAAGTGTGCACCAAATTTGTAGACATCATCGTTGACCGCAAGCGGCACCAGGCAATAGTTCTGTTTATATATGTTGCGGTTATTGGCATGCTTGAACAGTATGCCATCCTATATGTATATAGAGCGAAGAATTAATTAATTAATTCCAATGAAATCTTAATCATGCTCCCATCAAACCTCAAACAAAGTCCACTGATAGTCCAGGCTGTCTTTCACAGCAACTAAGTCGCACGATTGCTGATAGCCTGGCTGTACGAGAAAGTCGTTGCGTAGATTTATCTGGGTCTCTGTGCCGTTGAGCAAGGTTATGTTCAAGAGGGCGTCAACAAGGAACTCGTGTGGGTCACAGCAAAAAAGTACGCACGATTTGACCTGACAGACACAACCCCTCGTATAGGATTTGGTGGTCGATTGCGTCTTGCCTTCGAACGATATTGTGTAGTCTTATATTCCGGTTTTCTCTTTCGGTATTATAACGTTTCTATATCGATACGATCCATTCTCAAGTCGTTCGCTGGCTTTAAGCTCGACGGTATCAAAATAGTCGCAGCCGGGAATGTCTGCTGTGCTCTGGACCAAGAAAACGCTGAGTATGAGTAGAGCCCAGCTTAAGCTCCCCATTGCGTGGATAAAATAAAATTAAATTATTTCCGATAACTATATAATTCAGTTTTGCCGCTTTTCTAGCGCTCCGTGATGTGCTTTCTTCGGTGGTTCAATGTAAACTGAACGACTATTATTTATTCATTTGTCATAAATATATATGGATAAAATATAAATATTGATAAATTAAACCACATAGGGGCTACGCGAAGGTATTTTTAGGAACACATGAACTGAGAGAGAAAGCTTAGTCATTAATAATACATTAGTAGTTGGTATTTTTTCGATCGGTCTTGCCAGGTCCAAGTTTTGTGCTTCAAACTTAGACCTTAGACATTCATATTCCCCCATTTTCCACCTGCGGGTAATTTAAGTTTACTATATTAAACTCCACAATATATATTATATTATGCATAGGTATTTCAAAATGAGTTGAAAGCCTATCGAAATGTCCGCTCATTTTAGCCCCGTGGTACGAGCCACATTTTCCATCCTAGAGCTGTGGATTTTGCGAGAAGTGCGAAGAGCGCATCAAGTGAGTTGTCAGAAAGTTCTTTTGAAATGTCTTGGCACCAGAAACTTCAGACCCCAAATCTGTGATACCTATTTTCTGAAATGCATTAAGCACCTCTCAATTGAATTTAAACAAAGATCTGTGAAAACGTTTTAGAAGTCAATTGGATGGTAAACCAAAAAGTCTTATGAAACGGCCCCTTTCAGCCCTTTCAGCCGGCTCCGACATACATATGTACTGACTGCAACAGAAAGAAGTACGAATACAAAATTTCAAGACGTTAGTTTTAAAACTGAGAGATTAGTTCGCACAGAAACAGACAGACGAACAGACGGACATGGCTATATCAATTCGGCTGTTAATACTAATCAAGAATATATGTATATACTTTATGGTGTCGGAGATGTCTCCTTCTATGCGTTACACATTTCGAGACCAAATTAGTTCACCAATCAGTCAGTTATAAGGTGAGTAGGTCAGTCTGTCAATCAGGACAAACAGTTTTATATATAAAGAAGTCAATTCAGGTCTGGTGCTTGTGGATCTATTGATTTGAAAGGTCTCAATGCAAAAAATACAAAAATATTGTTTTAGGATGGAAAAACTGCAATAAGCATTTCGAACGACTCTTTTGATCAGGATTGGCAGGCTTGACATTGGAGATTGTATTGTATGCTATACTAATAGATGTGATCAATAAAATCGATATGTAGTGCAGACAAACATTTAGTGATATACAACTAATGTACCTCGGTTGCAGCCTCTACCCAGTTTTAACATACTCTTTCCAATTGCTAAATAAATATTTTGAGTCTTATAATTGGCCGAGCTCAATAGAAATATCCGTCAGCCTTATATTTGTTGCGCTGATTCCAGAGGACAGACTAACATATTTATTATAGTGAATGCTGTAGTACAGTATATACCAATTTCGATTGAACTGAGGTCCGACTTATCTGTAGGATTATCAAGTAATCTATACACATAGTATATAAGTGAGCTTAAGCCAGGCGGCGAGTCAAACTGCGGTTTCAGTTTCTGTCTGGGCTCAATGTGTTATAGTATAGCAACACTCGCGCTAAGTCGATTCTCAAGATGATTGGACCTATCGCTGTCGGACTTCTTATACTCTTTATGTGGACATTTGCCATACCTACAATAGACAAGTGCTTCTTATATGCGATGCCGATCGAAATAGCTAGCATCGTCTGTGGCCGTCCCAAATGTACCAAAAGCTCGGCTGAATGTGTACAAATGAAATGGGTAACAAAACCTTTCAAATTTTTATTAAGTTCAAGTGTCTTACAGTCGTTGGAATATATAAATGGCATTAGAAGTAATTAATAAATAATGTCAAAATAAATAAATAAAATAGCAAATGTAAATTGGCAATCAAATGTATATAAATGGATTCTCAAAGTTGTTGCATTTTGAAAATACATAGTTGCCAAGAAGCTTCTCTTGCTCTCACACTATTAATTCAATATAAATATATTAAATACTATATATAGAGAATATACCCATAAGTAAGACTTTGGGTAATCAGTGGAATGAGTCATTCCGAGTGAAATGATTCACGGGGTTTTGAGTGATTTGATTTGATTCGGGCATTTTTAACAAAGTATACAAATGGTTAAGTACGCAATTACATAATAAAAACAGATTGTTATCTCTTATATAAATAAAATTAATTTAAAAAAATATTTTGTGCAGCATAAAAGATTGTGGTCCAACAATTGGCAAGGCTGATAGTGGCAGTCCACTCCGGTACGCTATCCCACTACTGCTTACCACGGGAACTCTTGGCTGCTGGTTTTCACCCCTGGCCCGGTTCATCCCTCCTTAGCCAACCTGAATGCCGTGGACTCCTCCGCGGCACCCATATTGATGGCAAGCTTAGTGCGGACGTTCCGTCAACATGGCTGGTCCACTACACAGTGATCCCCAGCCTCAGGCCATCCCACAATCAGACCTCACAGAAGCGTGATTACAGAAGCTGCCAACCTTCCAGTCGAAATTCGGTAGTCTAAACAAGCATTATATGTCTACGTTTAGCAACGTAGTTTGGCTTTGGTTACTGCTTTAACGATAAACTGCTTTCACTTATATTGAACCACAGTAATATGGTGGCCCTGCTTAGTTTACAAGTCGTTTGCGTGCACTGCTTCAACGTAGTAAAACTGCTTTGTTTCAACTGCTTTATTAACATACTGTGAATATAGCGTGCCCCGAAGACACAGCAAATTTGCACTGTCATTAAAAATAATAATAAATGAAAAATAAAAAGCTATTAGTTGATTTATTAATTATTCTAAGACAACACATATAAAATCTTTCTACCTAGCAATAAACAAAAAGATATAAAAAGAAAAAGAATAAGCTCGCCCGAGCAGGGACTTGAACCCTGGACCCTTGGATTAAAAGTCCAATGCTCTACCGACTGAGCTACCCGGGCACACATTTATCGTATGTCAAGGAACCGTGCTGATAAAGTCGGAAGAAACAGGATCACGAATGTGACCATAAATTATCTAAGAAAAACAAAAGAAAATCATAAATTGTACATTTTAAAATAGTTTTATTTTTATGTCATATTCATACATGTTTACATATGTTTTCATTTGATTTGATTTATTTATATTTGTATGGTTTTGTGGTTTTACGCAATTGAACCCATATCATTATATAAGTACGGATCTCATTTAAAATTAGTTATGTAATTTATTTTTACATGGAATGCAGTTAAACTCTTTGCGCTGGCGCACATTGTGCGCCCCTATCCCGAAAACGACAAACGTTGTATTGCATTTTGATTGAAAAATCATATCGTTTGGACAAATTGCAAAACTATTTATAGGTTAAACAAAAAACAATTAATTAATTAATTTGTGCTAAGTATTTTTCTTTTCTTATTTGCGTTTGCTTGCTATTATTTTGTTTTCATTTTTCGTTTTGTTTTTTTTTTCTTCTCTTAATGCGCTGGTTTTTTGTTGTAATTTTACTTTTTACTAAAATTTGTCTTGCTAATTCGATACATATAATTTAGGCTTAGGAGCTAGGTTCACATAGACTACCGATAGGTTCTAGAATGCACTAACCTTAGCTTAGCAAAAAGTACAGCATAAATAATTACATTACATTTACGTATAGGTTGTGTTTTAATGTTTTTGTTGTTATTTTATATTTTTTTAATTTTCTTAAATTTTGTATTATTTTTAGATTTTAACAATTTGCGCATTGCTCAATATTTTGAAATTTTAATGCACACTTACGCTAAGAGACAATATGTATTTGTATTTGTAATAGGATTTTGATTTACAGACACAAAAGTTCTTGATACGACTCAAAATAATAACATTGAGAGAGCATCTGGTGTCGGGCACCAGCCATAAATAATTCTCAGTGGCTTTGCTGTAGAAATTGTGCTAAATGGTTGCAATTGGGCCACAAGATTCCTGTTTATCCTCCGAATTTGTTCATCATTGTGGGGGTTGAGGTGGGGGGTGCAAATAAAACAAGTTTGTATTTAGTATGTATTAATTTTGAATAAAATTAGTAAAGCATTTGCCAAGCTGCTAAAGCACTTTCAACAACACAAATCTATATTAAAATAAAACTGAACATTTCGGCTCACAGTTTGTTAAGTAGCTCTCGAGCAAAACAATTTATATTTAAAATGAAACACAAACATAATAAGGCGCCGTATGAGAGTGGGGCGCTCTGCTATATACAAACTAAACAAAGCCTTATATGGGTAGCTATGCATACATATACATATACACACATATGTACATAGTATGTATGACTGTTAGGTTTTAAGTACAGATTTGAGAATGCGAATTATCCCCGGGGACATTCGACTTAGAATTAATTATAATACGAAAACTAATTTTAATAGAAATCACTTTGAAATTATTGCAAATATTACGTTCGATTTGAATTGTTTTTTGTTTTTGTTTTTGTTTTTCAATTTTGTTCGTCTGTGCGGACTTAGGCCTAAAATTTATGCTACACTTAAAACTAATAGCTTTTCGAATACTGCTTAGAGAAAGAGGTTTATCATACTGGACGTCCAATGGCAACGGCTTCGTAAGAAGCTATCATATGCGAACTCCAGATGCCCTGCCCAGGTCCGAGCCCAAGGCTCGAACTGTGTTCATGTGATGCATGTGTGTGCGAGTGTGTGTGTGCTTGTGTGTGTATGTGTGTGTTTCTGTGTGTCTGTGCGGGTGGTGGCGTCTGCGGGAAGGCTCTGGAAGAACTAGACGAACGCGCACAGTTCCACCTCCAGTATCATAAACCCAAACGAGCCGCGCTCCAGCAACGGCTCATTTCTCAGCTTAACACGAATCAGTTGCAAACAAGAAGCATCGTCTTTGATGTTGGTTGATCGACAGCGGCGGCGGCGGTTGCGATTGCGGTTGCGGTTACGGTTGCGGTTGCGGATGTGGTTGCGGATGCGTATGCGGAGCAGGGCAAGGCAAGGCAGTGGCAATGGCGCAGGCGCAGGCGCAGGCACCGGCACCGGAACCGGCTCAGCAGCAGAACAAATTGCAGCCGACAATATCCGCTTTGTACTCCAGCTCGAGCTCCAGGCCCAGCTCCGACTCGGGCTCACAGTCCGAGTCCAGCAGCTGGTCGAGTGGCTGCTGTTGTTGCTGCGACTGCGACTGCTGCTGCTGCTGCTGCTGCTGCTGCTGCTGCCTGATGATAACCTGAGATCAGAACTCTTGAGGATATTTGATGCAGTCGGCATTGGTATTGCTGGCATTGGCCACCGCCGCGGCGGAGCTGAACAGCGAGTTGGGTCCGTTTCCGGCGCCAATGTTGCTGCCAGCTCCGCCGCCGACGCTGGCGGTGCCTAGCACCGACGCCGCCGCGGTAGCATCCTGAGAGCCCTGTGACTGATAGCCGCCGGCCACGCTGGCCGCTGCCGCCGCCTGATATGGTTCCTGATACAACTGATTGAGTCTCTAACCAGTACCCGAAAAGTGCCACGCGTCCTATGCGCTCAGATGCGCGAACTGTGACGGATGGATATCGAACTGGTGATAGGGATGGCCATAGGGGCCCATGTGATAGGGCACAATGTTCATTGACGCCATCTTGTGCTCCTTCTTCCACTTCATGCGCCGGTTCTGGAACCAGATCTTGATCTGTCGCTCCGTCAGGCAGAGCGCGTGCGCGATCTCAATGCGTCGCCGGCGCGTCAGGTAGCGATTGAAATGGAATTCCTTCTCTAGTTCCAGTGTCTGATAGCGGGTATATGAGGTCCGTTGTCGTTTCGTCTCGCCATTGGCATTCACAGTGCCTGCAAAAGTCGAAAGAACAGGATACCATTAGTGAGCTGTGGCATTAAATGTGATTGGAGACCGTTTGCTAATAAGGCTAACTTCGGCACGCCGAACATCAAATACCCTTGTAGGGCTTTTGTACCAAAGATCTGATATAGTATACCCATTTAATGATGGGCGAACACTACAGCTCGTAAATGCTGCAGTTGGTCATATCTTAAAATGCAGAAGAATTTTCAATTTTTTCTTAATACTTTTTAAGGGTTCTTAATTTGTAAAATATAGCTTTCATATATCTGGCATTTCAATGCTGATAAAAATTCAGCTTATGTTGGGAGTATGAGAGGCTCGTAAACAAAAATATATTATTCTCATTTTATACTCATTTTTTTAAAATAAATGAATTCGTACTTGAATCTACATTAATCTACATATTTGTGTTGACGAATTTCAATTTAGTTAATTAAAAGCTCTTTTTTTAAAGCCCATGAAAGCTGCCACAAAGCTTAACGCATCGCACAATTCTTCTCTTGCTCTGACCAATTGACTTACTCGCCAGATTAAATTAAAGCTTTGTTGACAATTTTGGTTAAAAGAAGTACTTTGTAAACGAAAGTTATATCAATAATCCATAATTTTCCATCTGGTCTCGGACTTAAACAGCTAAAATAATGTTTATAGGAGATATTTTTTATTAATCCATAGCTATTCTTTGCTTTAAATGCCAATAAAATTCGAAATGGCAAAAGTATATCTTTAATTTATGCGATAGTTTTAAATGGCATTTGCACTGTCAAATGACAGCAAGCTCTATCTGAGTGCTTATGACTTCCTTTAGTATCTAAAAGTTTCTCTAATAGTCTGTCTATTTAATTCAAATCTTAACACTTTCATTGAAGGCGTTTCTAGGCAATCGACAAACGTTGAAGTGGACCGTTGAGCTTTTCTCTGCGCAGGAATAGTTAATTTTCATGTTTATTTTCTGATTTTCTGCAACGTTGCGCATTTCATAAATATGACGTGTCAAGCTGCAATTTCGCTGTTCACCGTCGAAAAGATATTCCATTTGTTATTGTTGTTAGCCAAAAAAAAAAAAAACCACAAAGGCCAAGGGGTTGAGGGCTTGTCGGGGCTGTACGTGAAGTCTCAATCTCTAGACTCTAGACCCTAGACAGCTGTCGCTGCTCGATTTCGCTGTCTTCCTCCCACTGCCGATGGCCAAAGATAATGACAATTTGCCCATTCCCCAACCGATGCGCCGACCAGCCCCCTCCCGAAACTATTGTCATCTTTTGGGCTGGCGCGAGGGCGTTCGTAACGCGTCGTTCATAATGAGGGGGCGGACTGTGGCAAAGTAGACTTTTAAAAGCCATTTACCGTGGCGTGTTATTATGGCCAAGTCAATTGGCTCGCCCGGTATTCAACAAAATAAAAAAAAGAGAATCAGACAATGTCTCACAAACACACAAACACACACACACGCACACACACACACACATGCGCGAAGTCGGCCCGTGAAATGTGTGGCAGTCAGTCAATGTGATAGACAGGCCAAGTGAGGAGCGCCCCTGTCAGCACTTTGGGAAAGCCGACAAATGTTCCATCTTGGACCCCTTGGTCGCCACAATCTGCAGCGCTCCACTGCGCGTATATGGGTCATGGCCCATTGCTAAACGGCAATTGGAACTACAAAGTTGCTGCCGCTTTTCCTCCATTTGCATTGCTCGGATGCAAATGTTTTTCAAAGATGGAGCACATTGGTACCAAATATTGTGCGAGATGCGTAAATGTTGCTTATTTATTTAATTATTGGCTTAGACTATTTGAGTTTACTTAACTCCAAAAGTTGACAATCAATTTGGACTAAAAAAAACTAAACTTTATTGATGAAATAAATACTAGGCTTAAATTTAGATTTCTATAAATAGGAATTATTCAAGGAAAAGTTGTGGCAGATTTTCTTCTGGAAAATTACTCAAGTTGTGCATAATGTGCATTTAAATGGAAATTTGATTAAAAGCATTCTATAAAAAATTATAATAAAATAATCTTTTTGTAGTCCTCAATTCATTTTAGGTGTCGGCTCTGACATTTTGTTCTTTAGAGAAATTCTTTTAGTAAAATTATAAATAAAAATCTACTTTTATATGTTATCTAAGGATTTTATAAAATAAATAAATAACACTTTAAAAAAGCTTTGCTGGCAAAATGCAGCTCGTGCTTCTGTTCAGATTTAAATGTTCAATAAACTAAAGTTGCGCTCGTATTTCTTTCTCTCTTTCTGTTTCCCGTCTCTGTCTGTCTCGAGGATGCGCGACACGAAAGTTTGTTTGGTTTTTAGTCGGATTTTGTTGGTTTAGTGGTCGACGTGACGTAGTCGGAAGATGTCGGGTCACATCAATCAGTAGGAAATCTAAATGGAATTTCTGATTAAACTTGAAATTAATTACCACTCATTTAATTAAAGTGAATTTGAGTGTGGCAAATGCCGCAGCGCCGTTCGCCAAAAACCCACACACACACACGCAGGGACACACACACACACACACACATATGTTAGAACTCAAAAGCACTTTTGCCCTGTGCACACTCACGTTAAAAAGTCTACGTCCCTGTGCGCTTAGTGAGCCCCGCTTGCTGTAGCTGGTTGTCTTTTGGCCATCCTGAAACGGGCTAAAACTTATGACCACGTAACCAGCAGAGCAGACAGTAACCAGACAAAGACATCAGCTTCATCCGTCATCAGACAGAGAGAGAGACAGTGAGAGAGAGAGAGAGAGCGACAGTTTGGTGGCAAAAATGGAATTGGCCAAATCCTTAAGCTCGCGAATCCTGACCCATTTCGGTCAGTTAGCAGCGCTGTCAGTCAGCTTATCAACTATCAAATTGAATTCGAAAACTAATATCTCTCGCAAGCCATTAGAGCATGCCGGAAAGGTGCAGGCTGTCGGGTCAAAGTTTGCAGACGGCTTCATGCAACATTCAGTGGCATTTGATGCATGAAGTGCAGACGCAACTTCAGGTTGCACTTATTGTTCGTCATATTTTTCTGACCTTGCTGCCAGCATCTGGCACTGTGCATGGAAAATCAATATGCATTGTTGCGGGGCAGTTGGCGGACATTTTCTTGGCTGCTGCACTTTGTGTTTCTTAAAGTTCTGGGGCAGGGCGAACAGCTCTTGTGCCGCCGTCGACCATTTACAATTGTCAAAGGCTGCTGTCATTTGGTGTTGCAATTTGTTTACACATGCAACACGCTCACAGCTGCAGCCGCAGACGCCGTCGCAGTCGCAGTCGCAGCGGCAACGGGTATTAAGAGTATCTGTGAGAATGCGTGCATGTAGCTAAAGTATCTGGGGGATTGGCGATTGCCCTGAGCAGCACAAGGGACTTCCTGGGAAATATTTCACAATTGTAATATTAGAGAAAATGGAAACACAATGCTTGTTAGTTTAACTATTACAAATTAAGTTTTAAATTCGTTTTTGTCATAATTTAAAAGTTAACAAATTATGTAAAACAATTGATTGCTGATTATTGCTGGTTCACATCGTTTGTATATTTTTCCCACGAACATAGCTGAAAATGTCTATACATATTTTTTGATTATATTTTACTTCTATAAAAAATAAAACTATAGTCGATTGATTACCACAGTGGGATTCAAACACCCGTGAAAACGGAAGACAAAATAAAATATATAACTGCATAATTTTTAATATTTAATATCCTATTGATAATATTGTAATTTTATCGGATACCGGATTGGATAATATCGTCTCTTCTTCTCTTTGATCTCAGCTAGATATCGCAATCTCATTTTGGAGTCGAGTATGTTCCATTTAACGAACAAATAGTATTATTTATGTCTCAATCAGCCGAGAGTGGGCAACATTTGTTGCTGCACCGTTGCTGGCATGATTTCCAGCTAAAGATCAACACACATCTAAACCAAATACGAGCCGAACTGATCCGATTGCCCGGCAACCCGTTGAGGGCTCCGCTAAATGTCATCACTGGGCACGGGCATGGGCATGGTTGTGGGGCGGTGATAGGGGAACGGGGAACGGAGAACGGGCGTGTGACTGGGACTAACTACATAGCTACATAAGTGGCGCATCGTTGTCGCTTGTCGTCATGGCCAGGCGCAAAGCCCCATGAGTTGACAGCAGTTTGGCTGAGGCACTGCCACTGCCACTGGCACTGGCACTGGCACCTGGCATGTCATATCACTTATCGTCGGGGCATGGGCATGGGCATGGGCATGGGGCATGGGGCATGGGCATGTCGACTCTTGACAGCGCCAATGAGCGAACATCCGAGGCGTTTTACAACTTTGTGCCCATTTCGCGCTCCGTCTCGCCAGATCGTGAAATACTATATAGACATATTGGATTCTGCATACATATTCCTATATATATATGTATTTTTTTTACTCGTGCTTATATTTGAAAAGCGACGCGCTGTGAATGAGGAATTTAGTATGTGTCCGTGTGTGTGTGTGTGTGTGTGTTGACTTTTTGTTTGGTCTTTTGTTTTGATCTTTTGCATTTCATTTTCATGTAAGATGACGTCAAAGTCAAACGCTGACAGCCGCTTAACATATCAGTTGAAAATTTGAAATTTGGTGCATGCAAAAATCTGCAACAGAATTTATTAAGTGACACAGCAGAAACTGGCTGCGGCTCCTGCTGAACGCATCCACATTCGATTCGTGGCAATTCTGCAATTCAAATTGCCATTGTCTGCGGCAACGTTTTGCATACTCCGACCAGGGGCTTTGTGGGGCAGCTGATCATGTTGTGATTGACGCGAGATTAGCATACGTTCAGGTTCAGGTTCAGGATCAGGTTCAAAGTTAAGCTCAAAACCCTTGGCCTAGGTCAGCAGACAGAAGGCGCAGCTGGTGCTCAGCTTCGAGTTGGCATTGCAATCCGGTTCAAAGTTTAATTGTTTTTCGCCGCGTCTTCTGCTTCGGCTGCAACATCTTCGGCTCGAGGCGCAAATAGAAAGAAAT